GGTCTCGGTCACACCTGTCTCGGCCGCCCCCTCATCCTCATCACCCAAGCCCCTCAAGGCATTGACGAATGTGGATTTGCCGGCACCGGACTCTCCAGTGACAGCAATATCAAGCTGGGCGTTCCAGATGGTCTCCAGGCTGCACTGGATACGCGTCACCACCTCAGAAAGACCTCCCAGCTCATAGGCCTCCTGGATCTCGGCAAGCTCCTTCTCAGTGATCAGTTCAAAGCCTACGCGGGCAGGTTTCAGGACCCTGTGGGAATCACAGAATCATAGAGTTGTTAGGGACATAAGAACATAAGAGATGCCAATGTTGGATCAGGCCAAAGGCCCATCCAGTCCAACACTCTGTGTCACACAGTGGCCAGAAATACCAGGTGCCATCAGGAGGTCCACCAGTGGGGCCCGGACATTAGAAGCCCTCCCACTGTTGACACCCCCCCAAGCACCAAGAAGACAGAGCATCACTTGCCCCAGAGCCCCTAGCTATACATTGTGGCTAATAGCCACCGATGGACCTCTGCTCCATATGCTTATCTAATTCCCTTTTGAAGCCGTCCATCCTTGTAGCTGCCACCACTTCTTGTGGCAGTGAATTCCATGTGTTAATCACTCTTTGGGTGAAGAAGTACTTCCTTTTATCCGTTCTAACCCGACCGCCCTGCAATTTCATGGAGATCCCACGGGTTCCTATACTGTGAGAAAGGGAGAAGAATACCTCTTTCTCTACCTGCTCTTTCCCATGCATCATCTTATAAACCTCAATCATGTCCTCCAAGGTCATCGAGTCCCACCCCCTGCACAATGCAGGAAACCCACAAATACCTCCTCCCCACCCCCAGTGACCCCTGCTCCATGCCCAGAAGATGACAAAAAAACCCAACCCGAATCTCCGGCCAAACTGGCCTGGAAAACAATTGCTTCCTGACCCCAAAGTGATGATCAGCATTTCCCTGAGGGTGTAAGAAAGGGCCACGAGAACTACGCCCTGAGGCAACCCTTCCTGCCCTCCGTCTCGTGATCTGCCTAAGTTCACAGAATCCGCATTGCTTCCAGATGGCCACCTAGCCTCTGCTTGAAAACCCCCAAAGAAGAAGAGCCTCCCGAGGAAGCCTGTGGAACTGCTCTGTCAGGAAGTTTGTCCTAACGTTTAGCCAAAATGTTTAGTGTTTAATGTTTTGAAGAAAGAGTGGAGTGGATTGTAGGCCAGGATGGATCTCACATGGCTACAATCAGTGATGTGGGCTTGAAGTTTCAAATGTAAGTAAATAATATAGATATGTCAGCAAAATGCCATGACCTGGATATCCCAGGCAAGCAAGCCCGAACTCGCCAGATCTCGCAAGCCAAGTGGGGCCGACCCTGGCAAGTATCTGGATGGGAGACTTCCAAGGAATACCAGGGTTGGGAGGCAGAGACAGGCTATCTCTCTGAACCTCTGAACATCCTCCATGCTGAGGAGGAGGAGGAGGAAGAGAAAGAAGAAGAGGAAGAAGAAGAGATTGGATTTATACTCGTCACTCAGAGTGGCTTACAAACCCCTTCCCCTCCCCACAACAGACACCCTGTGAGGTAGTTGGGGCTGAGAGAGCTATTTAGAGAACTGCTCTTGAGAGAACAGCTCTGAGAGAACTTGTGACTGACCCAAGGTCACCCAGCAGCTGCACGTGGAGGAGTGGGGAATCAAACTCGGTTTTCCCATATTAGAGTCTGCCACTCTTAACCACTACACCAAACTGGCCAGAGGTCGCCATGACTTCCAGGCATGGGAGCACAAAAAAGCACAGACAGACACACACATATACAATGCAACCCCCCAAAAAATAAAATGTCAGCAAAAGGAGGTATATATCCACCATGCAGGGGTCATTTCCTGCAGGAGTGCACAGGAGCGGAGCTCCGGCAGTAAAGAGCCCAAGGGGCGGGCACATGCAACAAGCCCCACCCCCTGCTCCCAGCAGCCCTCAGTCAGAGCAAGAAGCAGCCAGGTAAGTTGCAGAGCCCCCCCGTTCAAAACAGTCCAGTGGCAGCTTTAAGACCAAGTTTTATTCAGGTACAAGCTCTTCCTCCTCTGTGAGGACAGATCTGCATTCCCCCTCCCAAATAGCTAGCAATCCAAAACAGTCCAGTGGAGCCTGAGCAGTGGGTGTTGCCTTCTGACACACTTCCAGTGATGTCAGGGGATGTGGCATCTGCAAATAAGTTATGCTAATGAGTTATGCTAATGAGCTCCTGCACCTCTTTTTCTAGGAAATGACCCCTGCCACCATGTACAAGCTTGGACCACCCACAAAGAAGCACAAGAGCCCTGACACAACTATAGACAAAGGAGCCATGGTTCAGTGGTAGAACATCTGCTTGGCATGCAGAAGGCCCCAGGTTCAATCCCCGGCATCTCCAGCTAAAAAGACCAGGTCGTAGGTGACATCATAGCTGATGAAAGGCCCTGGAGAGTCACTGCCAGTCTGAGTAGAGAATATTGATGTTAATGGACTAATGGTCTGATTCAGTATTAAGGCAGCTTCATGCCTGCAGATAAACAGACCGTATTTACATACATGAGACAGGAAATTTTCCATGGGAAAATATGGCAGTTTTCCTCCCCCACATCACTGGCTGCCTTAAGTACTAAAATGACGAAGCTGAGTAAGTGTGATGTTAGTACAGAGGGGTTGGATCCTGGGAATCTCTTCTGCCAGGTTTTCCTTCAAGAGAGAAAGATTTCCTCCAGCGGAGATTGACTCTTCCTGAGAGACAAAGGCTTCTTCTATTGGAGAAAAGTCTTTCTTTGTTGAAAGAAGTTTTCCTCTGTTGGCAGAAACCTTACGGGAAGGGCGTCGCAGGATCTAACCCGGTGGCTTCAGGAATGCGGACTCTGATGACTCCGCAAGCCTGGCTGTTACAGAGACGGCTCTGAGAGAAATACTTTTCAGCTGACGTTGTATCATAATAACTATGTAAAAAATGCTGTTCAACTGGATTGGCCCAAGTGACTGTAACATGAACATCATCCCTGAGTAGTTCCTTTGGAGCAGACACTGTTTACCTCGGGAGGGGGCACTTTTACCCATCTCAGTCTCAAAACGAATTGCAATTGCTAATGAAGCTCAAGACAATGCATCCACCTGGACTTAATCGAGACCTAGGTTCCCTTTCTCATTACCAGTGCTGATTTCTCCATGCCTACTACCCCTCTGCATATCACACCTAATCCAATCATGCCCGCTATTGTAATTTACCTGCTACTGTCATTCGCCTGCTGTAGTCATTCGGCATATGAAATCACTCCATTCTCCAAGACAAAAGGACAGACAGACTAACTTTCTAGCTGTATCTGATGAAGTGAGCAGTGACTCTCGAAAGCTACCCTGCCACAAATTTTGTTAATCTTTAAGGTGCTACTGGACTCTTGCTCTATGCTAAAGTTGCAGGAAAATTAACAGATCCCCCCCCACCGCCGCATTAAAGGTGCATTATTTAGTGTGTGTCAACGCAGCCTCAGGTAAGTTATTAGGGACTGTAGTCTAACTGTGTTTAGCTTGCATAAACTAGGATCCTGCTATGTAATTTCTGTATCATTTAATGTGTTAAGACTTATGCTAGGAGACTCAGTTTGGTGTAGTGGGTAAGAGTGGCGGACTCTAATCTGAGAAAACCGAGTTTGATCCCCCCACTCCGCCACATGCAGCTGCTGGAGTGACCTTGGGTCAGTCACAAATTCTCTCACAGCTGTTCTCTCAAGGGCAGTCCTCGAAAGAGCTCTCTCAGCCCCACCCACCTCGCAGGGTGTCTGCTGTGGGGAGGGGAAGGGAAAGGAGATTGTAAACCACTCTGAGTGAAGAGCAGGGTATAAATCCAACCTTTTCTTCTCTCTTATGTCCAGGGCCGCCTGTTGTTGTTAAATTTTAGACTGTCGCCTAGGGCAACGGCTCGACGAGGGCGCCATTCTGGCCGGCCTCATCCCCTCCTCGCCCCGCACAGGAAGCCTCCCTTGCCGGCTTCTTGCCCCGTCCCCGGTAAGAGACTCCTCTCTTTTCAACCCCCCAGACAGAAAGAGAAGGAGGTGGGGGGGGAGGCGCGGGGAACAGCCCCCACGGTCTCTTAGAAGCTTTTTTTGTAGCCTGGCACAGGCCCCCTTCCCCTCCCCTTGAGCGAAACCCGCCCCCCCCTCCCCGCACGTATTTGCAACTCACCCCCTTGGTCCGCCCGCTGCGGCTCCCGCACCCACCCCTGT